TGAAGAGCTCGCATTTGAACTTGAGTAGCAGACTCCGCTCAGGTGGTATCTGTGCAAGCATGAGTTCAGCAAGATAGAGCTGAGGTTCAAGTCAGACAACTTCACTGATTAGATCAATTCTGACCACGCAATAAACACCAGAAATGGTACATGGAGCCTGAGGTTTGCCTGGCATGACAGACTGGGGTTCCTGTCAGTGTGTGCAGGCACGTACGTACAGAGGTCTCAACTCCAGGCTCTGCCTAACCTCTTTATTGGAGTTCAGTTGCTGAAAAGGGTCTCTGAGCTGACTCTCCATGAAGATGAGCAGGAGTAATTTTATTTTAACATAATACAGTGAGCAAACAAGCAGCCTTCGAAAGACAAAGGCAGAACAAAGGCTTACTCTGATGCTTTCTTTCTTGCTTCTCAATCAGTGCATCTTAGAATCCAACCCAAGGCAAGAAGTACATTGACAGAAAAGTGAAGAGTCTCTTGTCATATCTTCATCTTGATGACAACCTACTCATCAGAGCTTGTCCAGAAACCCCATGTAAGTTACAACACTGCTGCTGACTTTTTGTGTCAACATTAATGCAAAAATCAATGGTAGGAGACGAGATAAATTCCTTTATGACATGCAAATTCTGATCGTATACTGAGATACACTATCACAAAGAAAAGGTGATGTCTACAGACTTGATGACAATAGATGATTCTCCCTCAACCAGAATCTCTGCTGAACCCTATCTTATACAAACAAGCACAAGTCTAAGAAAAAAGAAAAAGTCCTAAAAAAAAAAAAAAAAGACACCTTTAAGAAAACCAAATATCCTGCATATATGCAAAAAGTAAGATGAAGTAAGAGACTCTCTTCTTCTCTTACGTAAGGTCTGCTGGAAAAGGAAGTCTTTTCCGCTGAACAGGACTTATAAACATGTGGCTACAGGTTGCAGTTTGGCCTGAAATATTCACTACTCCCACTACTTCCAATTTACAAACACGCAGTCTTCCTTTCCTTAGGCATAACACATGCCCAACTTCCAGTCTGCAAGTTTGGATGATTACAATTCCTCTTCCTCTCCTTGCTTGCCTTCCCCCATTTTCTGAGCATTTGTTTCTGCTTAGGGACTGCTTGGTAAGAGATAAGCCTTTTCTAGCCAACTTGCCAAATGAATCGAGATAATGCCAGAGCAAGTTCAAACATATTTAACCCACAGTTATCAATCAGCCGATATGAAAGACTGATTTGTGGAGTAGTAACTTACTTATTTGTGACAAAGCACAGCTGGAGTTCGGCTTTCTGAGCTGGTGTGATATTTTCTGGAGGTGCTGACCAGAAGACATTCCTGAGGAAGAGGTCAAAGGGATCTTTGCATATGAGCCAAGAGTGTCTCTATCACAGATATAATCCAGCCAAAGAGCAATGAGAATAGGTTTTCTTAAAGAGCAGGCAGATCTTAGCAATGTGTGCCACCACCCCACCCTTACCAATGTAAGTCATGCAAGGCATTAGCATAGGGACAGAGTAAAGACCAAGTTGTTTCTTTCCAAGGATGCTTGAAGCAACATTGGATGCTCACTGCGTAGCAAGATGTTTTTCTCTTGTATGTATTGGTTAAAATTACCATTATTTTCCATTTCAGTTCTGTAGTCAACTTGAGAAGTGAGTAAACCTGCTGGGACAGAACTGAAAGCAAACCCTACACCAAAGCGCTAGGCAAAAACACTCAAGCACTTACTTGGCAGAACGTATAAAACTTTTTAAGATACACAGGACCTTGTGGCACCGGAGAACCTGTCTGCTAATAACCAAACTAACACAGTCTACTTTCCACTACAGTGAAACTCCCTGCCCTTCTAAGAAATGGCCTTCCTACAAGTGAAACAGTCAGCTCATGTAACACATGTACACTCAACGCATCATTTGCAAGCAATTCCCACAGCCCTTTCTTCCTGTATTACTGCACTCATTTGAGCTATCACAAGTGCTTATCTTTACCTGTCAAGGTCCCGTTTTGAAATCCTTATCTACCATGTGCTTTATTTTGAGAAGAGCTTATACACAAGAGGAATGTGGAAGGACTTAAAGCATTTGAGTAAATTGGGAGGGACATAAGCATGCATTCAGATACCTTTAGTTAGGTTGATGTGCTTGACTTTGAAACATGCACACATTATGAATCATGTGGTGTACATGACAGCTCTCTAAACTGTGAACAGGCACAGAGGGAAGCGGTGCCAAAAGGACCAAACTAGTATGTCTGGTGTAAAAACTAAAATACCACAAGCACTTAGATGAATGGCACTGGTGGTTTAGGCTATCAATCCCATTCACATTACAACTACTTTACATCAGGGCTACGCTAACCGTGGGATTAGAAATAGCAATAAGCATACAGTGCTGTCTGACCTGAGCTGGTATAGAGCTGAAACAGCCACATCCACCAGAAAGCATTCACCCCTGGTCATGGGTTCACTAACAGAGAAGATTGTGGTCAAGAAAACATCCCTTCACCTGTTAAGTTCACGGGTTTGACACCAAAACTAAACATTACAGAAGTTTCAGAGGTGTATGAGCTAGATATGGATCGTATTATGGAAGCTTCCCTGCCTTTCTGTCCCTTCCAATAGAAATTGAAATCAATAAACTTATTTTTGACTTAGTACACTCGGCTGTCTTCAAATCACACACATCCAGCCTCACATTTGGCCTCAGGAGCTACTTCTTCAACTTCCAAAGTCCCCTCCCTTCCCAAACTAGTACTTCCTGCTTCCAGTTTTCTGCTTTTATCTCTCTCACGCTTTATCATTTCCTTGAGGCTTTGCTACACAGCTTACCAGTTATATTGATGCAGCTATATTTTCATCATTCTTTTCCCATTAAAAATTTCTGCTCAAGAACAGAAGATGCCTAGATTCAAATCCAAAGTACAGATGAGGCCCAGCAGCCACTAGCAGCCATTCTTCAGGATCCACTGGACTCCTCAGCAACTCGTCGTGGCCACTCTGGGAAAACCACAGCAGGCTTTGGACATCTCCAGGCCTCCAACTTCTGGGTGAACTACTGACTCATGAGGAGTTACCTACAGTGTGCACAGAGCTGTGCCGCAGTCAACCCATCAGTAACACTGGCTCTCTGTGAGACTGGAGCACCCATCTGCCCATGCAAATGCCCCTGACCACGTTAACTAGGGCACAGTAATTACACCCTGTAGTGCCACAGCCGTCTGTACTGTGTACTGAGACCACACTGCAGCCCACCACCCTCTGGTACACCAGAGGAAACCACAGACCTATCTCCAGCTTGGTTCTTCACTCTGCCCCTGTGGACAGACCCACTGCAGACTGGAACAGAGAGTTAAGCAGAAGAGTCAGGCTGTACTTGACAACACATATTCTGGTACAGGCAACTAACAGAGCAAAGGCTGCCGGCCCATATCCATACCCACAGCTTTACGTGATGGCGGAGACCAAGTACTTGGTTGAATTCCTAGAGAAATCACATACTGGACTGTGCCGTAAAAAGAATTCTTTCAGGTAAGATTTTTTCTGATAGTAGATTGTATGAGCATCATACAGTGATGATCATGGCACCCATTTGTTTAAACAGATAAATGCTGAAGAGGAATGCATGCACACACTTGACAACTGCAACTAGAAACACCTTTTGTTGCTTTCAGATGAATCCAAAGATGACAGCGGCCTTTACCCTTTGTGAATAAAGGTTTCCTTTCAGAAGAGGTCCCCAGCAAAATACTGATGATCGTTTCCCGAAATGTTGCTGATTGACATTGTTTGAGCATTAAAAAGGCCCTCAGTAGGGTTGCCAAAAGCCTGCACAAATATTGTTTTATAAAGAATAGCCTTTTGAACATGATTTGGAGGTGGCAGGAGGAAAAGGAGCGCTACAAATTTGAAAACACAAAACACGGCACAAAACAAACCAACCAAACAAAAAAGGCACACGAAAGGCAGAGGAAGAAAAAAGGAAGAACAATACATTTCCAAGAGGTTGTGCCAGAAGCCATCTACCACCTATTGTTTCACGATTTTTTCCCCAACCTTCATTTCTCATGTGATGGACCTTGCAGTATGCGTGTTTGTTACAGTTACACTCTTGTAATGATCCTGTTCCCTAAAGGCCAGATGCTGTAGCTCCACAGCCTCCAGTGTCAGGCTAGAGAAAAGGACCATTTGCCTTCACATGAAGCTTCTATCCCGGAGGGGGTGTCATTTACTCTGCTTAGAGCAACACTACCTGCACACAGGTAAAATGAAATGTTACTACACAAAAAAGAAATCTACATTCTGTTTCAAATACTCGTTCAGACTCGCGTACAGACAGCACCTCTTTGAAAGCATCACAGCAGCACGTTTCACGTTTGAAGAGTTTCATGCAATCTTTCTAAACAGCAAACATCTCTCCAGCCCCGGCCGTGATGCCGTTTGTCAGCCGCACCAATGGAGTGAAAACGAGGATCAGATTAGATCAGTGAAACTGAGCCAGGGATAGAAAGACAGGCTTGGAGTACAGGGTGGGAACCACCAGAAGCGAGCACCAGAGACCTGAGGCAAAGCGTGACTTGCACCAGCCTCCCAGGACAGGCGATGTGGGGACCCGCCTCTGCTCCGGAGCTCAGGTCACCTCTGGTCCCCACCTCACCGCATCTACCTTCACAGCGACATCCGAGCACAGCCACAGGCCCCATGGCCGCGGAGCATGGCCACACGCACCAACGGCGACCCCTCTGACAGCCCGGGCACTCCGTGCCCGCCCGGGACGCGGCGGCAGGGATGGCCAGCGCTGCCCCGCACCTGTCCTCAGCCTCCTCCTCCCGGCCGCCCTCGCCTCCCCTTCAGCACCAGCCCCGAGGGACGCGGTTCGAGCGGCGGGGAGCCGGTGAGGGGCGGGGGCTGCCTCACGGCCCTGACAGCCGCGAGGGCGGGCGGCCCCGGTGAGGGACGGGCTCCCCCGGGGCGGTGGCGGGTCTCCCCTCGGCGGCTGCCGAGCCCCGTACCTCCAGGGTGCGGATCTCCTGCTGGGTGAGGTCGTTGGACGCGGCGCACTTGGTGCGGAGCCCGCGCAGGTTGGACAGCGAGATGTCGATGAGGTCCTGCAGCAGCCCGCACTGCTGCAGCGTGCTCCGCACGGCCGGCAAGCCCCGCGCTGCCGCGCCCGCCCGGGGCCCCGCGCCGCCGCCGGCCGCCGGCTCGCCACCGCTCCGCTCCCTCCTCTCCAGCATGCCGGCGGCTCGCAGGGCAGCCGCTCTATCCATTCCTCGGCATCAGGGAGGCCGGGGAGGAGAGGCGGCGGCGGCGCGGGGGGAGAGCAGCGGGGCGGGAGCGAGGGAGGGCGGGCAGCCGGGGGATGGCTCCGCCCCACCTCGCCTCTCCGGGCAATTACCGAGCATTAACATGCGCGACGGCGAGGCACCGCGGCCGCGGGCGGTTCCTGCTCCGCCGCGCCCGCCTCAGCGCCCGCCTCAGCGCCCGCCTCAGCGCCCGCCTCAGCGCCCGCCTCAGCGCCCGCCTCAGCGCCCGCCTCAGCGCCCGCCTCAGCGCCCGCCTCAGCGCCCGCCTCAGCGCCCGCCTCAGCGCCCGCCTCAGCGCCCGCCTCAGCGCCCGCCTCAGCGCCCGCCTCAGCGCCCGCCTCAGCGCCCGCCTCAGCGCCCGCCTCAGCGCCCGCCTCAGCGCCCGCCTCAGCGCCCGCCTCAGCGCCCGCCTCAGCGCCCGCCTCAGCGCCCGCCTCAGCAGCCCGCCTTTTCTCCTTAGCGTCCGCCTCAGCCTCTCTCCGCCCGCCTCAGCCTCTCTCCGCCCGCCTCAGCCTCTCTCCGCCCGCCTCAGCCTCTCTCCGCCCGCCTCAGCCTCTCTCCGCCCGCCTCAGCCTCTCTCCGCCCGCCTCAGCCTCTCTCCGCCCGCCTCAGCCTCTCTCCGCCCGCCTCAGCCTCTCTCCGCCCGCCTCAGCCTCTCTCCGCCCGCCTCAGCCTCTCTCCGCCCGCCTCAGCCTCTCTCCGCCCGCCTCAGCCTCTCTCCGCCCGCCTCAGCCTTCCGGCAGGTATGTCAGGACTTGCATTCGGTCTGGAGGAGCCTCGCCGCTGGTTCAGCTGAAGGAAGAAGGGCCGGGGCAGTGCTGGGCCTGGCCTGTCCGCCCTGGGCTGTGCAGCCCCGCGCTGTGGGCGACGGGCCCAGCCGAGCCCCTCACGCCTCTTGGCGCGGGAGCACAAGGTGAGCCTGCAGGCACAAAACACTGTGAGGATTTGGAGGTCCAGAGGTTAAAACCAGCATCAAAATGGCGTTGTGTGTGTCCACAGATGCCCCCTGTGCCTTCCTGGATGGGGTGGTCTGGGGCAGGCAGTGGAGCTGCAGCCTGCGGTGTGGCATGACCTGTTACCGAGTTCACGGACACTGGTGACCCCATTACACAAACCCAGTGCCAGCTAGAAACAAGTCACCTACTAAGGCCATGGAGAGTCTTCCTAAAATAGCTTTTCCCAACTGCTGAATAAATCGATCAGGTACATGTTTTGTTTGACACAAGTGTTTACTTGGTAAAGAGTAAGTGCAGGTCTAGTACATGAAGTGGGCATTATTATAAACAACTTTTAGTGACTGTAAACACTTCAGTGCAACAGTCATCTGGGCTCATTCGTATCACGAGTTGGAGGAACTTTATTAAGGCCTTGGGAACCACTGTGGTTTCAGCTTTCACAGTGGAAACACAAGAAAAAGGGTGCAGGTAACTGCTTTACTGGAGCATTGCTTGCATATCCTGTCTGATGGACTCACAGAAGTGAGGTGTTGGTGCAGGAACCACACATCTCCCGCTTGTTAGAAGAATCAGGACTGCTCATCTGATGTAAAGGATCTGGAAAGGCCTTTTCCTTGCTCTTTGCTGACAGAAGGATAGCCTCCTTAGTTTAGACTAGATAGACACCAGGTTTTAAAAGCTAAAACGACACCTGAGCTGCATGTGGTAGTACAAAGGAGATTTTTATATTAAAAACAAAAAAGGGGAGAGAGAAACTGAATCTAGGACATGAGGCAGTGAAGCAGGGCAGATTGTCTGACCCTGAGCTGTTTTTCTCATGGTCAGATGGTTACTGGTATCCACATTAGGTGGTGTGTGCTTGCATCAAGTAGTGTGGCATATGCTGTTTAGTAATTTTCTCAAGAATGTGGGTCAGGTTAAGTATTTGATTTCATTGTCATTATTCACATGCTATAAATGTCATACGCACTAAGGGCTTTGCTGGATTAGGGTTTAATTAGTTTGCCATCTGATGAGTCCTGTGGTTTGGGGAAAGTAACTCACTTTGCTTATTACCTCCATATTTCTGACCTTGTGAAAAAGACTTTTACCAGCCCCCTCTTCTTTTAGCAGCACTGGAAGTTTAGCACGGGAAATTTTAGTTTGTAGAACTCCAACAGTCCGAATTCCTCAAGTACAGGTGGCCATGGAACCAAGAAATAGTGGTAACAGGGGTATTATTCTTGTAGACATTCTCTATATACCCACCTGAGAACATCCATTTGCTAACAGACAAGAAACCAAGTGTATTGCGTAAGAAAGCAGACTAGGAAAATTGTGGGCTGTGCATCACAGGATACTTGGCATTCTCTGCAAGTGTTTGCTCGGCGTTGGGAGTGCCGGCCTCATTAACTGGCTACCATAAGTGGGCAGCATTCCAGTCCCAGCTACAAGACTGCCCTGCGGGCTCGCATGGAAAAATGTGCTGACTAAACACTCTGCACACGCCATCCACTCCCGGCCTGCTCAGCACTGCTGAGCGAACACGAACTTTGTGTTCATGCAGCTGTTGTGTTCACAGGAGAAGTGGGGAATCCTTGAGTGCTCCTCTATGGAAGCAGATTCCATGCAGGTGAGCTGCTCACATGCTAGGGAGAGGCTGGCACTCTGGTAGCACAGCTGAAAGAAGGGACAGAGGTGAGAACTGAACCATCGCCTCACGCTGAGGTGGATCCAGAGCTGGGCTAACATGGGGCTGCACCCTTGGGTGTCCCACAGAGTTACAGCCTGCATCACCCAAGGTGACCTCTGGACAGATGTGATGCTGAGGTACGTGTCTCCTGCCCACACAAGTTCTCTGGGACACAAAATTTCCCTTGCTGACTGCCACAATAAAGCCCTGCCCTTGCTAATCACCTCTACAAAATCCTGCCCTACAGACCATATCAAGGCTCTTCAAGCTCACTGGGGAAAAACAGAGACCTTTTTCCTTTTTTCCCCAAAGAAAGAAAAGCACTGATGCATTTCACATGCTGCTTTTCAGAAAAGCTGCTATTACCTTTTTAGCTAGCTTGCCCCAATTTCATTTAGCTATCACAACACTGAATTTAGATGATGAGACTGAATTACTCTATTTGATGTGTCTAACACATAATAGAAACCTGGGATTTGAAGAGCTGAAATGTTCAGTGGTTCAGATAAAAGAGGCCTTTATTACCGATGACTCCCCTCAAAGGCTTCCTCCTACACAGACAGTAAGAGTATTCCTTTCCTTTCCTTCTCATTGCAGTGCAGCACAATAACACACAGTAGTTCTGGCATGCTTGTCTGCTGTGAAGTTGAGAAACTTAAGTCCTATTTTTAGACCTGCTGCTGGATAATCTTTTTAGGATATACAGAGAGTAAAGATGGTGAGATGGTGATCATGGGGCAAATCCTCATCGTTTTCTGTAGTTTAAATGGCTCCATTGCCTGCAGCTGAGACAGACCAGTTCATAGCAGTTTAACATTTGGCCTGCACCTTCCAGAACTTTTTTTTGTGTACGTCTACGGAGTTGTTCCTGCTCAGCTGCGCATTTGAGCTCATGCACAAATTACAGGAGAAGCCACCTTGGGCAGGCGAAACACCCACTCCTTTCTGTCTGCGTATTTTTAACTTCTCTGTCACCTGTCATTAGAGAACCCAGGGATTTAATAGGAGTCTTCTGCCAGTTAAAATGGCAAGGTCAAAATTAAGGGATGGAACAACAAATCCACAGTAGAATGTGTCAGTGAGATAGGGATAGATACAGGAAACAGGACTGTATGCTGAGAAGTATGCAAATTAAACATCACGGTTGTTCTTAAAAATCATTTTCATGGGTGGGGAAAACCCATTGTGCTTGGGCAATGTAAGAGAAACAATTCCTGCTCCACAGAGGGAGGACATAAGTAATTAGCTGTGTAGCTACACTCAATGTTTTCTGTAGACAGGTGAACAGAAAGGACCTTTGAACTGAGACTGAAAGGAGGATCACTGGAGCGATGCATTCATCTTACAAGACCTCACCTCCTGGAGTCACGTGAGTAAGAACTGCAGCTGCTACAGCAACCAAACACTTTCTACCTTTAAGAAAGCTTGAACACATTTTAATAGTCTATAAAACAAGCAAAAAACTTACTTATTTTTAGAAAAATCTCATGGGGTTTGCAGCCTTGCTTTAAGATTAGCTGTGTCGCAATAATGCTGCCTCTTTGTCTGCTATTTGTCACCAGTCTCCTCTGTTTAGACTATAAACTGTTTGGGGCAGGAAGTGTCTTTTACCCTTTGCTTGCACAGCAACGCCTGGATCTCAGCTAGAGGCCTCTAGGCTCTGCTCTAATGTAAATACTAAATAATGGCAGTCCCAGAGGATGTAGCCCCCACCCCACTTGGAGGCCCGCCAGGCTGCAGGGCTTGTTCTAGCAGCAGACATGCCAGCAGGGAAAAGTGACAAATTCTGTTGGGGAAAGATATTCATAGGTCTACCAGGGATAAGAAACACCCGCCTCTAGAAACAGAGGCTTATGTCTCCCTGAGGATAAACACACCCAAGATTGACTCATGCTGGCATAATCCCCTTGTGCAATCTGTATAGTGGCGTTAGATGTGTGTGAGGCAAAAAGACAAATATTTGGTTAATAAAACAACACAGGGATAATAAAAAATAATTAGGCAGTTTTACCTTTGAAAACACTGCAGCAGGTGGGGTTTTGCTCATCCCTTCAGACAGGCACACCCCTCCCTGTGAGCAGAGCTTCCTTGTGCTTGGTTTGTCTGCAGCAAGACAACCAGTTCATTCGGTTAAATGTTATAAGGGTAAAAATAATAAATAAATAAATGAATAAATAAGTAAGTAAACAAAGTCCTGGAGCCCTCAGTCTGGCAAGGGAGGGGGTATACACTGTGGTGGAAAAAGCAGGCTCATGTTCCACAAGAGAGCTTTGTCAAGTGTATTGCATAAGGAGATTACAGCCCTGAGACTGAAATGCAGCTGAAGGTTTGAGTTGCTGCTACCTCTGTCATTAGCACTCTGCTGAGCTGCATCACAACAGCCCTTCTTTCACCTCTGTGAACAAGGCTCGAGGTCCATCATTACGTTTTCCAGCACTGTTACTGCACATGGCTATTAGCTTCATTCCCCAAGCTCTTTCTTGTTGTTGTTTTAAATA